TAATAAACAATGGTACAATAGATTTTGACAACGCCAATATGACTTACAGTTAATCTCCTTAATTCCCGTAGGCATTGTTCCAAAGAATAGAAGATTGGAATGTGAATGCCCCATTCCACCACTTTCATAACAATTTAAGTTAGATACTTACAATGGACCATAATATGTTCATAGCTTTCAATCTCTAAACAGCCTCTAGCACAAGTATATGTTACCGAAATACTGCACTTTCTGAGAAAGAGATTGGTGGGTATAGCAGAATTTCCTAGACTCCACCAAAACATTTCCACTTTCTTGCTATGTTTGAGTTTGTAAAGCCAACTACAATATTCATCTTCTCTAGAATTGTATCTACATTTCAAAACTTGATCAAAAGATAAGGCAGAAACAGTCATACCCGAGCATACCTTCTACAGTTCCAGCCGATCATCTTCCCTTGGATCAATCTGAATTTGGTTAATCAACACAATAAAATCTGGATGAAAAACATTCTAAAGAAGTGAACAATTCCACTGACCATCCTCCAGCAAGAGCTGCTGGACACACATTCCCTCCAAAGAATCACAATCAACTAGAGTGGGCCAGCGGTTTATGCATCTATCTAGTACCCAAATATCCTTCAGGACATTAACCTCCCTACCATTGCCAATTCTCCATCTGGTAATACCTCTCAGATGTCTTCCTCCATCTACTAAGATTTGCCAAGACTTAGAAGTATTCTTCTTGTGTGTGTTATTCATAACATTCTTCCCATATTTAGCCTTAATGGATCTGTGGAGTAAGGTATCCGGCTTTAGAATGAAATTCCAAGCTAACTTTGCTCTCAAAGAACCAGCCTTCATAACAGGTGATTGCAATCCAAGCCCACCAAATCTTCTCGGTTTGCATAACTCCTCCCAAGCCACATAATGAATGCTATGGCTGCCATCAGTTTTATTCCAAAGGAAGCTTCTACAATATTTTTCCAATACATATAACACACTTTTTGGGACCAAAGAGTGTGTCACTAAGAAGTTTGGCATAGTTAAAAAAGAGCTTTTGATGAGAGTGATTTTACCACCCATAGAAATAGATTTCTTACCCCAAGCATTAAGTCTATCCATAGCATTGACTAGGAGATCTTGAAAATCAGCCACCCGCAATCTACTAAGAGAAATTTTAATCCCAAGGTAGTTCAGCTCCTTAACCACTTTGAAACCAAAAACTTTGGCAAGCTTATTCTTCATAAGGTAGCTGACATTCTTGCCAAAAATAATTTGTGATTTATTGATGTTAACTCTTTGCCCAGTCCATTTACAAAACTCCTTAACAATTTTCTTCAGATTCTTAGCTAACACCTTTGAGGCTTGGGAGAATATAAGTACATCATGTGCATACATGAGGTGATAAATTCTTGGTCCCCTAGGGGAGATTTGAAGGCCAATATCATCCTCCTTTTGCCTTAAAGAGTTGGACAACAATTGAGAGCACATGATATACAAGTAAGGGGAGAGTGGACATCCTTGCCTAAATCCACTACAAGCATTTATCCACTTGGAATTATTTCCATTAATAATAATGGAGAATCTCACATCTATAATACATTCCAAAACAAGGTTAGAATACAAAGAAGGGAAGCCATACCAACTAAGAATTTGACTAAGAGTTGGCCATCCCATGCTATCGTAAGCTTGCTGCATGTCCAACTTCAAGGCCATTAAGCCTTTCCTGTGCTTCGATATCTTGAATTTGTGAAAAATCTCCTGTGCAAGAAGGCAGTGTTCTGAAATAGATCTACCTGGGATGAAGGCCACTTGTTCTTCAGTAATCATCTTGGGGATAAGTCTCTTCAATCTGTTTACTAGAATAGTGGCTGCAATTTTGTAATTAGTCTGGCAGAGACTAATTGGCCTAAAATTGGATGGAAGTAATGGGTTCTTCACCTTAACAATCAACATAATTAATGTATCTTTCTAATCTTGTCTCATATGCCCAGAAATTAAAAAGTAATTAATGGCATTCCAAAGATCTTTCCACATAATTTCCCAATAGCATTTGTAAAATGAGGATGTGAGACCATCCATACCTGGAGATTTATTTTTCCCTTGCTGGAAAACCGAATGCTGAAGTTCACTTGCCGAGAATTCTGCATTAAGAGCATCAATGTCTTCAGCTGTCAACTTCTGATTTTCACAAATCTCAGGCCAGCCCGTTAAATCACATTTTCTGGATTTCCATTTTGTTTCAAAGTGACTAATGAATACCTTCTCAATTTCATCATCTTACACTTGCAACTTATTGTACATATCCTTGATTTGATTCACTCGATTACCATTTCTCCTTGCTGTAGCAAAATTGTGGAACATTATTGAATTTTCATCTCCATCCTCATGCCATCTTGCTTTTGCTCTTTAATTCCACCATGTGGATAGTCTCTTCAAAGTAACATTAAGATCATGAATTTTGCTCCTAAGTAGAATGAGATCTTGAGCTGACCATCCAATCCCCACGGCTTCTTTGTGTTGAAGAACCAAGATTTCCTTTTTAAGATCTTCCTTAAATAAATTCAAGTCTTTGCACTTGTTTTTACTCCAGAAAAACAGAGCTTTCAACATTCTAGAAATTTTTCTTTGAAGCACCATTCCTTCATCACCAAAATCACTTTTCTTCCAAGCATGATACACAATACTTCTAGCTGCAGGATAAGATCTCCATGTGTCCTCAAATTTAATAACCTTCGATTTGATACGCACCTTATCATCCATCTTGAAAGCAATAGGGCTATGATCCGAAGCCACCCTAGCAAGATGTTTAATGGAAGCAATGGGAAGCTTTTGGAGAGCAGCCGAATTCACAATGCACCTATCCAGCCTCTCCCAAATCCTAGAGGCACCATCTTTGTTATTGCACCAAGTGAAACTTGGTCCAATAATTCCCACATCATGAAAATCAAAGTTTGTCATAAACAACTTTATATCTTTGGGTCCTTTAGAGAAAAGAAACCTCTTACCACCTCTCTTCTCTTCTTTGTTCAATATATAATTGAAGTCCCCACTAATGATAGAGGGGGTAAATGGGACAAAGGCTTGATGTTGTTATTGTTGTTGTAATCTTTTATATGAAAAAATATAAACTTTCTAAGATTTATTCCTTCTAAGATTTTAAAAAATGAATAATTAATACTTATTTCATTTAAGTTTTTTTTTCTTAAAGAATATGTTCCTTGTAGGCTTATGTCTTTTCGGAACTTGTAATGAAGTTGGGCGTTATGAGGTAATTGCCTTCAAAGAGCATATACTTTCTAACACTTACTCCATTTAAGATTTTTAAGTAAGTAAAGACTTTGTCAATTTCTTGCTCTCATGGAGTTTTTCTTAATGTGGACTTTGTTCATTATTAGCTTTGCTTTATTGCTCCCTTACATGCATGTCTTCTAAGTTTCTAGAGTGGAGACCCTAGTTATTAAAAAAAAAAATCCTTCATTGATATCTAATATGGGGTATAAGATAGTTGAACTTGAAACTTACTTAAAATTGGTGGATTTCTATTTTCTTGTAGAAGATAAAGACTATATTCTTATGAGATATAAATTCTTCTAAAAATTCTAATAATATGAAGAGCTCAATTTCATTGAGTTACTTTAATGGAAGAATCATCTTATTATATTCTTTGTACATAACATGTTTGAGCTAATAATTGATATCTCCTTATTTTACGGACTTCCCCAAGTCTAAAAAATTTAATGTTCAAGTTGATGAAATAGTCATAAACCTAGATAATAGAGGTTAAATGATGATTTTATCATAGATTAAAGAAGTGCCTATTACCATAAACTTGATTATAATAGTTGATTATATAGGTGGTTCAATTTAAGGATATTGGAAGAGATATTGTGCTAAAAACCTTTTGAAGTGCATCTTCTAAAATCACATATCATGTTGATAAAGTTGCAACTCAGTGTGAGTTAATTCAAGGTTAATTCAAGATTAATGAAGATCATGATGATAAAGTTGTAAATAAAAAATTACCTTTGGTTTGGTATTGTCCATCTCATTGAAATGTTCATTCATTTTGATTATAAATTTTCTCGAATCAAAATTCAGATGATTTTGAGTTTAATTTTGAAAGTTTTCAATTTAAGTATTGCAACAAAATTTGTGTTTAATTGGATGAATTTTCTAAAGATGTGACAATATTATTATTATTATTTAATAATTACTTGAAGTTCTATCTATAGTTGATCATAGTGCCTTAATATAAATCAGAATATGTCATCTATAGATTTTAAAAATCTCACAACAACCCAAAATTTAGATCATCTAACTTAAATCCAAGTTGCTAAAGCAAGAAATTACGATATAGATATAGCTAATAAAAAGTAAATATTTTACCCATCCAACTAAACTCAAGTTTAGGGTTTTTAATTTTGTTGCGCATTCGAACTGAAGATTTGTTAACTAAATTATAATTTTATATAATACCAGCTGCATTGTAGATATTTATTCAAACTTTAATTTTATATGTCCATGTCTTTGATCTTGTAGGCTATGTACTTATTAGAGAAGCCAGATGGAACGATGAAGCTCTATGAATTTATAGTGTTCGGAGGATTATTCATGTTGCTTCTTGCACAAATCCCATCCTTCCATTCCCTGAGGCATCTCAACCTCATCTCCCTCATTCTCTGCCTTGTTTACAGTGCTTGCGCTACAGCAAGCTCTATCTATATTGGTAAGTCATTTCATTCATATTTCAAATAAGTTCATGACACTTGCATTGTTTGTGTATATTTCAATTTAATTAGTTTTTTTTACTTGTATTTTTGATTAATTATATAATATATATAGGAGTTAGAGGATTTTAGCCAATGGATCAATCAAATTTGTGGTCTATTATGTTCATAATTAAGATAGTTTTAATTGTTAATTCTTCAAAAATATGTGAAGATAATTTGAAGAGTTAACAAAAATTAGTTGAAGTGATATATTTATAAACAGTGATAAATTAAGGATATGTTTGGAATGACTGTATCATTTTATAAAGGTGATTGTAAAGTTATTGTGGAGAAAATGATTTTTTTGGAAACTGGGTCCTAGCACAAATTTATTAAAAGCATTGGTCAAATAAAAACTGTGGTTGCAATCTTAAAAGCAGAATAATAAGGAAACCATCCCAAACAAAGCATAAGTTGGTATTTTTATAATATTGATTTTTCATTTTGGACAACTTTCTTATTGTCTTTCTTTTCAGTCCGTAATTACAATTTTTATTTGGTTCATACATTTTTACTGTTTTAAAAAATTTTAATTAGAATAACATACACTGCATAAATATATTTTGAGGCTAATTACATTTAGTGTTGCAAGAAAATATTGCATAAAATCATTATTCATTGAATAATTATGTTTTTTTTTAATTAATGAGAAAGGATGAGAAAGTTGAATGGCTTGAGAGTTTAGCTAAATATTTTTTTTTAGTATTTCTTAATTATTTCAATAAACATGAGTTTATGACTTACAGGGCACTCCTCACGTGCTCCAGAAAGAGACTACTCGATACCAGTCTCGGGTAATAACAAGCTTTTTGGTGTATTTAATGCAATATCTATAATTGCTACAACTTATGGGAGTGGGATTATACCAGAAATTCAGGTAAACACAAAATCTATTATTTAAAACGTATCTTAGACAAAAAAAAAATAACTTCGATTTTTTCAAAAATTTTGATTTTTCATATTAAAAAATATATATTGCAGGCAACTGTTGCTCCACCAGTAAAAGGCAAAATGTTTAAAGGTCTCTGTCTCTGCTATGCGGTGGTGATTAGCACCTTTTTCAGTGTTGCAATCTCAGGCTATTGGGCATTCGGAAACCAAGCACAAAGCAACATCCTTACCAACTTCTTCGCTTCAGATGGCAGTGTTCTTATTCCCAAGTGGTTCTACATGATGATCAATTTCTTCTCCATCGTCCAAATTTTTGCCGTCTCTGTGGTAAAAATTACTAACTTCGATTAAAGTTAGAGAAATATATTTAATTTAGGCTTTTCACATAGAAAATTTAAGTAAAATTGTGTTTATGTAGGTTTACCTACAACCAACAAATGAAGTGCTTGAGAAGCTCCTGGCCGACCCAAAAAAACATCAGTACTCCCCCCGCAATATTATTCCAAGGATCATTTCTCGATCATTAGTTGTTGCCTTAGGCACCCTCATCGCTTCAATGATTCCTTTCTTTGGGGACCTCATTGCAGTCATAGGAGCATTTGCAATCTTGCCACTGGACTTTGTAATACCGGCTGTGATGTATAACATAACGTTCCGAGCATCAACGAGGCAAATAGTTTTTTGGGTCAACACAGTAATCGCCATTGTCTTTTCTGGGTTGACTGTGCTTGGTTGCATTGCCTCCGTGAGGCAAATCGCACTGGATGCTAACAGTTACAAGTTATTTGCCAATGTGTGAGTGAGCATGTAATTTATATACCTTATTGAGAACTTGGTCTCTCATGTTGAATGCAAAAGAACAAACTTTCAACAAATTGTCATTGTATTTTGATATTTTCTTTTGCTTTTTATGCTTTGCTTTTTATGCTTTGCTTGAATGTAAAATTAAAACAAACAAAAAATTGATAGAGACGATCCTCAAATTTATAGTTAAAAAACTTTAATGTCATCTTTAGCTAGCCTTATAAATAGACAGAATGAAGTTCCTACAAATATCTTGTGAATGCATTAGTATGGGCATGAACAAGTTAGGCTATGATTTCTGTTAAAAAGTACATATCAATGCTCCATTTTGAGTATATTATGAAATGCATTGGAAGAATAATATAAATTTTGTAATTAAATAACTGAAATAAAAATTATTAATAATTAATAGATCATAATTTTTGTAATATTCATTGATGTATTTATGATTTCTCGAGTCAAGTCCTGTAAGGTATATACTTACTTGGCAACTATGCACACACACACATAGGAGTGAGATTGAGTCAAAATTAGAAGTTTAATTTTAGAACTAATCATACTGTATAAGTTATATTGTACTATATGATTAGCTTTTCTAACTATCGTACTGGACAATTTAGATCATCCAGGATAATCCGTTATGATCATGAAAAATAGTCGTCAATCATAATTTAGGCAAGCTTTTTAATTTCATTTTTTGTTCTAATCATCCAATACAATGTACATCATACTAGACAATCTCTAAAAAACATGCCTAAAATAATCTTATGATTAGTCAATCAAATCTGCTTAATTTTGATATTCTGATCGTATTGTACAAACTAGATTATATTGGATGATCAATAGAGATGATTTTAGTTGTCCCAGATTTTAGCTTGGATGAATTGCATTTTGGTTGAACTAATCATCCCAGACGATCTCAATATCATACTAAACAATCTGCTGAAATACTTGAATTAATCGTAGAGGGCAATACTCATCGTACTGGTTGAAAGGTTGCATCAAATGATTTATCGATCATACTGTATGATCTTTAATGATATAATTGATTTTAGGGTTTTTCAAAGCCGTCTTTTTAAGCTTTCTCATGCCCCTTGATAAGTGTCTTCAGTGGCCATTATATCTTCGTTCTTGTGGAGAAAACTTGAAGAGATAACTTGAAAGTGGGAGAGGAAAGGGTGAATTTTCTGGGGGAGAAGATCCTTGGAGGGGGTATCAAATGAGTGTGAGGGGATTTCACATGGTTGCTCTAGCAAGCTTGCGCCTTAGTACTAATAGATTCAAGGTTCGTCTTGAGGGAAGTTTTGAGAGAAGAAGATCTCTTTGGTGTCAAAGGACCTGTCTACTTTGCGCATCGGGGAAGGTAAAAGGGATTCGTGGTGCTCTACCATCTCCGAGAAAGAGAAAAATGAGTCAATGTTCTCTTCCTGTGAAAGGAGTTTTGGTCTTCTATTGTATTGGGTTGGTAGAAAGATTTTGTAAGGACTTCTCCGCTTTACTGTGGGGAAAAAATGAGAGAGACTAAAAGGTTTTAGTGCAATACCTGAAGGGTGCCTCCAGGGAATGGAAGTAGGTCAGGTGATTTCTTTATTTTTTTTTTTTGAACTTTATTTTCTATATTTATTTTGGATATGACTGCTTGTTTAGCAATATGTGATTGATATTATGTTGTTTTTATTAATTATTTTCAGATGTTGAAAAAGATTTAAGAAGAGAATTTTTATTTTTGTTGAAAGAAGGTTTTTAAAATATCCAATTTCTCCCCACCCCCCGCCCATCTTAGTTAGCCTTGTGACTAGTTTTTTAGGGTTTCATAACCGTCATGAACTTTCATAACTAGCCTTTGTCTGCTTTAAGAGATTCAAATTATACTAAATGGATGTCAAAAGTGCCTTTCTGAATGAACTAATAAAAGAAGATGTGCATATTAAAAATTCCCCAGGTTTTAAAAATTCATAATTTCCTAATCATGTGCTCAAATTAAAAAAGGCATTATATGGACTAAAACAAGCACCTAGAGCATGGTATGAAAGGCTAAGCATATTCCTACTAGAGAGAACTTTTGTTAAGATGAGCGTAGACACCACCCTATTTCATAAAAAAAGTAGGAGATGAACTACTCATTGTCCAAATTTATATTGATGATATTCTATTTGGATCTTCTGATAAAAATTTATGTTATGAATTTTAAAAAATAATGAGTAACGAGTTTGGGATGAGTATGATGGGAGAACTGACTTACTTTCTTGGATGTAGTATAAGAAAAAATGATGATGGAATTTTCTTTTGTCAATCAAAATACATTAAGGACATCCTTAAGAAATATGAAATGGATAAAGCCAAGCTAATAAACACTCCCATGAGTTCTACTTTTTAGTTAGATAAGGATTCAAACGAAAAATCAGTTGATCAAAAGAAATACATAGGAATAATTGGATCACTTCTGTACATGACTGCTAGTAGACCTAATATTATGTTTATTGTGTATCTATGTGATAAATTTTATGTTGATCCAAAAGAGTCCCACTTTATTACTGTTAAGAAAATCCATAGATATCTCTTTGGAACCCAAGATTTAAGAATATGGTATCATAGGCATATCACCTCCTTTGAATTCATAGGATATTCTAATTCAAATTTTATAGGATTTAGAGTTGATAGGAAAATCACTTTTGGAGTATGTCAATTCATAGGACAATTCTTAGTCTCCTAGTTCAGTAGAAAAAAGAACTCAGTTGCCCTGTCCATTACTGAATCTGAATACCTAGCCTTAGGAAGTTGTGTGTCACATATCCTCTGGTTAAAACAATAAATACAAGATTTAGGATTACTTGTAGGCACCATTTCAATCTTATGTGATAAAACTAGTGACATCTGCATTTCAAAGAATCTAATCCAGCACTCCAAGACTAAACACACAGAAATATGGCACCATTTCATTAGGGACCAGGTTATTAAAGGAGATATTGAGCAACATCATGTAGCTACTAAAAATTAACTTGTTGATATCTCAACAAAACGAATGGCTTTTGAAACCTTTAGCACCTTAAGAACTATATTAGGTGTAATTAATATTCATGATTGAAATTGATGTTTTTTGTTTCTATTTTTATTTTTATTTTATTTATATGTTTATTTTTGTTTATGAGTTCTTATTTTATGCTTTTGACTTTCTATTATGTTCCTTCAGTATTTTAAGGATCAGATCACTACTCACTTATGCTATTGATTTTGTTTTAAATGATATTTTTGCCTCATTTTTAGTTAGAAGCATGTAAGTAGTGATTGACTCCTATAAAATAGTTAAAGGAAGAAACATTGATGATTCCTTTTCTTCCTCTAACTCTTTTAGTGATGTATTTTTTTTTAATAAAAGTCTATTTTAAATTATAAATTAGGATTTGAAATAGAGGTCTATTTTACCCTCCTACAGTAAATCTATCTCATATGAATAATGTTTCAAGTCATTCAATCTCTTTCAAGTTTTCTTAATCAAGTTGTTTGCATTTATCATATGGATATGAATCTATTTTATAGTTTTTTCTTCTTTATATAAGAGAGTGAGTTTATCCTCTCTCATATTTGGAAGAAAATATCACAACTAAGAAATTTTTAAAGATTTTGAAAGGAAACAAACATGCAAAATTAAAAAGAGGTATAAAATGTGGCCAAAAACTAAAAAAGTTACATATTGATCGACTAAGAATTAGCTTGCCTTTCTTTCAAATTCTTTAAATCTTAGAAGTTTCCTTGTGCTAATTGATATCTCCTACACTTAAATTTGAATATCATGTTTTCTTATTCATTACTTTGCATTATTATTCTATTAGATATTTTTCAAAAATGAAGGTTTAAAATATCACTTTTCCTATCTAATTTATTTTATGATTTAGATTTTAATCTAAAAAGGATTTTTACATGTAAGGAGTCGAAGCTAGGATTAACAAGATCAATTTTCTAACTTTTCTAAATTTCATTGTTGTCAATTAATTTATTACTAGTTTTCTAAATCTAATAAATTTATAATTTCTACAAATGATTTTCTAAAAAGGAGAACACTTAGTGATGATGACTGCTGTAGAAGAGGATGTCTTGAATGTGAAAACCTGGAACATATAACTATTAAATGTAAAGAATTGATTAAGATTCTTAAACAGTTACAAAGTTGGGGGCTTTATGTTCCAATTTTTGAAACAATGGCTGAAGGCTTAGTTGAATTAAAGATCCTTAACACTATTGCTCCTAATGGTGTGAAAATTTACTGTGAGACGGTTTATCAGAATTGGAAAAACAGAAATGCTTTTCAGCATGGAAATCCAGCCAATTCAGTGATTATTTCAGCAACTAATGTACTATTTTCTGCTATTAACAATGTTAATCTGGTTATTGATAGCTGGGGTGCTAACCTCCCTAGGGAGTTTTAGAATTCTTGGCACCCTCCACCGCAAGATTGGATTAAAATCAATGTGGATGCATCCCTTATGTCTTCTTATTCGGCTGGAATAGGAGGATGTTTTAGAGATCATAAAGGAAGATTATTGCTTGCATTTGGAGAAAGGAAAACTCATTGGGATATTGCTCATCTTGAAATGGAAGCTATTTTGATTCTTAGAAGATTCTTTCAACCGTGGATGATGGAGTATAGAGGAATAATAATTGAAGGAGATAATATCAATGTTATGAACTTCATAAGAAAGTCATTGAAGAAGACCAATTGGCAAAGGACGGATTGGATCGAGAAGGATTTTATGTTCTTGACCGACTTCAATAAGGTGATTCTTAATCATGTTCATAGGAATTGTAATAAGGTAGCCGATTGTTGTGCTACTTTAGCTTTAGATTCTTATTTTTACTTTGACAGCTCTTCTTTTGCTAGCATTCCTTCTTCTCTTTGTTTTCTTTTGAAGAAGGAATGTGAGCCTCTACTTTAGTTGTATCTTATTTTTTCTTTATTAATTGCAAATTGCATTTCTCAAAAAAAAAAAAAAGTAAGGC